TTTTTTACAAAATTACCCTTTGAACAGTTGTTCATAGACATCTCATTTAATACATTAATTAAATGATTATTTTTGTAGTCTCATTTAATAAGAACCGTTTGATGAGAAAATGAACGATCAAGATCGGTTAGCATAGTTTGCACAATAGTTTGGGTTAGTATTTGAACCAGCCCCTATATATATATATATATATATAATATATATATATATATATATATGTGTGTGTGTGTGTGTGTGCGCGTGCGCGTGCGTGTGCGTGCAGGCTAAGGTTAATTCATAACACATCTAAATGTTACAACTTTTGCAACCACCATCTTAACCGTTAGATTAATGATAAGCGGTTATTTATTTATTTATTTGCTTTTTAATTGAAAATATTAGGCGCACATCTATTCTAATCTTGAAATCAATGGATAATATTTTGGCTGTAAGGGTTGTAAGTTTTAAAGGGTTTTGAATTAAACCAGCCTTTCATATATGGTTGGATTCTAGTAAGAAGGAGAGTTAATATAATAAGTGTAAAAAAAATGATCTTCATCATTGGATACACATTAGAATGAGATGCACCGGGATGCACCGGATCAATCCCCATATCAAGTGCGATCCATAAGTGGGATTTGAAATTAAACGTGATCAAGGGTCCATATCCTTTTTTACGTTTCTCATCCTTAACTCTCTTTCTCACTAATTACATAATAGGTATCTAAAGTTTGAGGATTTTTGTAAAAACAATGAAAAGTACAAAAAGGAAGACAAGACATGGTTGGACGATTTTACCTCTAACTATAACGGATTTTTTTAACACGTTAGGAATAAAGTCCAATTTTCAAGGCAAAATCTGATTTATGAACCAAAAGTGAAGTTGACAATTGCTGAATGATTTGGTGTAAAATGATTTAAGTGGTCAGAATGATTAAGAGGCTCTCATGATATAGTGCAAAATGAAATATAATTGTTTTTTTTTGGGTAAAGGGGGACGGAACCCCAGGAAAAAATTTATTGAATCAAAAAGAAATTACATAAGAGAAATGGGCATACCCAGAAAAAAATATAATTGTTTGGTAATTGTATACAATGAAATTAAGGCTCTTAGTGGTTAAGAGAGATTCATGATACAAAATCATTTAGAAGGTTTTAGAATCATTAAGAGGTAGAAATTTTTTTTGCCAAACAAAATTCATCTATTAATAATTTAGAGGTTGCCTCTTAATATAATTATTAAGAGGTAAACAAACAACCCATTGCTCTGAAATAGTTTAAGCATTTAAATACGACTACTGATTTGCTTTATAACTGTACATGTTTGACCCGGTGATAACAAAGCACAAACGTCAGTTGTCTTCTTGATCGTTTAGGTAGTGTTTGGTACGCAGACTGGATGGGACGGGACGGGACGGGACGAGACAGAACTAATTGTCTGTCCCCTGTTTGGTACAACTAGGACAGGACAGGATAAAACTGTTAAAATGACCATATTACCCTTTAATATATATTGCATTTCTACAAATACCCAATGTAGAGGGTATTGCATTTCCTACTAAAAATAATAATTTGAACTAAAAAAACACCAAGAACACAAACAATTACACACAAACAACATCAATTGGGAATCACCAACACCTAGCAATTGTAATACTTGGTAACATCATAACAAAAGTTGAAATCATAATGGGAATCACCAACACCATTATCAACAGCAGGCATGGAAAGGGCTTTTGAGATTTCAAAATCGAGCTTCAAAGTAATGGAGGAATCAAATTGGAAACCTTTTAAAAAGAAAAAGAAAGCATACCAGGTGGATCATAGAAATAAAAAAAGCAAACCTTCAAGGGAACCATCAAACAGTGATTCTTATAAAAATAAAAAAAAATCAAAAAGTAGAAGATGGAGCATACCAGATGAGAATCAGAGATATCAAAGTCACAAAATTGCATCTTAGCAGAAAGTCACCAATTTACCTCTGAGGATGAACTACACGCTGTTTAATAATTGTTGAATAAACCCAAATGGAACCAACTATTTAACCAAGTGTTTTAAACACAAAACAGTAGCTATAGCTATGTATTGAACCAATCATTGAACCAACAACAATTAACAGCAATAGGAAACAACAAAATCAATAGAAACAGCAAGGTGTTTGGGTTTATATAAACAGCAAACAGCAAACCTAGAATAGATTCTATCAAACAGCAACAGCGATAGAAACAACCACCTAATCGAGGTTTATGCTAAACATGTGATCAAACAGCAACAACAACTATAAAATAGTAAATACGGCAACCTAATCGATGTTTATGCTAACTATAACAACAAATACAGCAACTATAAAACAACAAATACATAAATAGCAAACATCAAACAGCATCAACAGCAACCATAAAACAGCAAATACACATCAAAAAAATCCAAAAATCGTTGAAGAACAGCAAACATCAAAAAATCGACTGTGACTTGTATACCAGCAAACATCAAAAAATCGACTGGAGGAGTATAGTAGTTACCGATTAGGAGAAGAGGGCCGTGAGTGATGGAGAAGAACCTGTCAATCGATGGAGGAGAAGAGGGTCGTGAGCAATGGAGAAGAACCTATCGATCGATGGAGGAGAAGAGGGTCGTGAGCAATGGAGAAGAACCTGTCGATCGATGGAGGAGAAGAGGGCCGTGAGCGATGTAGAAGAGGGCTGTCGATCGATGGAGGAGAGAGGTCTTCGATTAGGGTTCTGTAAACAGTTTGGATCGATGGAGAAGAGATGTGCGATTAGGGCTGTCGATCGATGGAGGAGGAGAGATGTGGCGGGGTGTTTCTTGGAGACGCACGATAAGTCAAGGAAGGGTAGGGAGTCTTTTGGCCGGCTTGGACAAGCTCCTTCTTTCATATGGGCTAATAAGCTCATTTATGAGAGATTAAGCCCGAGGTAAACGGTCTAAAAAGTGTAATCAGTCTAAAAAGTATGTGCGAATAAGCTTATTTATCCGTTAAGATCATTAAGCCATAAATAAACAGGCCCTAAACAACTATTTAAAGATATAGAAAGTAATATATTCAATAAGCTTCTATGGGAGAGCTTGATGCAGAAAATCCCAATTGGCTTGAATCCAAGTGTTGTCTAAGGGGCCGTTTAYTGAACGTTTATCCGGTAGGTGCTTACCGGGCAATTTTCCTCACCGGATAAACGTGACAAGACGCAAGAATCTTATTCGGTAAGAGCAAGGATAATAATATAGTCTTACCCGGTAAGTGACATGACGACTCTTACCTGGGTAAATGCTTACCAAGTAAATTATTGCATACGATACCATTTTGATATACTACAATCTTACCCAAAAAATAAATTATAATGTTGATTCTTAACGGTAAGTGCTTACCGGGTAAACATTTAGATAAATAACCCTTAAGTTTTCAGTCTTATTTAACGACTTCAGGACATATGTGATCGTCAATGGATTAACTGGTGTACTTCAAGCTAACCCAGTTTTCTACGGGACGGTGTTAGTTTTAGATTATGGTTGGGAAATCTAACTAGACAACACTTGACTAAGTAGTTAATAAGAACCTGATACCTTTATATAATTTTGACCTTTGAAGTCCAAACTTAAACTAATCAGGCACCACTTTTATAGTTTACAACACTTGATTTCATGTGGTGTCTAATATAAATAGTTGACTAAGTAGTCAAACATCTCAATATGTTTAAACTGAAATAAAGTTATAAATAAATAAATAAAAACATTTATGGGGACCAGTGTATTATAGAAAGTAGAGGAAGAGTTCTTGTACCTACCAAAAGAACTCATGAATTACAAGAAAATAAATAAAGAGAAAGAGACCCTCCATCTGATTCAAGTGTTTGCTTGATGTTGATTCTTATTGAACACTATGTCTTATTTCTACCATTTAAAATCATCTCCAATACATTATTTAAAACTAAAAGTTATATACATCAATAAACAGTACTTCATATATAAAAGATGGTTTTTAAAAGTTTTTTTGTCAAATGTTTTATAATATAGTATAGATAGATAAAATAAGGATATTGGATATTTAGATGACGTTTGTTTTTTAAAAGGTATTGCAGTTTAAAGTCTTATTTCATTTTTTTTATTAACCTGGATATCCAACCTGTTATGCGAGCCGACTAATCTCAGAGTGACCACCGGCTTTGCAGATAGCCTGAAGTCGCCGCATTTGAACCTCCGTAGCTACAGGAGGATTTTTATTCCTCCTTGAATTTGAACCTGAAATCTTCTGATACTTTTAACATTTGAAGTCAAACTCAAACCAATCACGTATCATTCTTATAGTTAAAAAGCATTGGTGAACAATAATTGATTTATAACTATACACGTTTGACCCGGTGATAACAAAGCACAAACGTCAGTTAACTTGTCTTCTTGATCGTTTAGAGAATTTGAACTTTTGATCGCTGCGCAAATTTTGTTCCCTGCAAACTTCTTCGTCAAAATGCATCCCCGCTCACTGCTTCCCGTAATCTGCATCGTCGCCGCCGTCGCCGCTGTCGTCTTCTACTCTCCTCCGCCAGTACCTTTTCCATCATCTGTTATATTATTTAACAAGAACTCTGTCAACTTTACTCTTTGTATTCACTACTGAAAAGTAAAACCCTAACTTCTCAAAAATTAACATTACCAGGTTTCAGCTCAATCGCTATCGTTAAGGTCGTCGTCGTTCTCTGTTGCTCTTGAAACCCTTCAGAAGCATATCAAGTAAGTTTATCCTTTACCCTTAAGAGCACTAATTACTAGTGTTCTTCGAGATTTTTTCATCATCTAGTTGGTTCCTTTGTGAGATTGTTTTGTGCAGTTATGATTTTCAGAACATCGGACTTCTCCGCCGTGCGATGACTCACTCGTCTTATTCTGAAGAAAACAACAAAGCGTTCAGTATTCTAGGTGAGGACATCATTGAAACAACTGTTTCCCTCAGATTGTTAGCTAAAGATGTGGATATATCGTCCAAGGATCTGACCGATCGGGTGTCGGAGATATCGAAGGTGGAGACGTCGTGTGCTGTTGACGGCATGCGTTTAGGGCTGCAGAATGTGGTTAGGGTCTCTTCGAACACAAATTCTTCTACTTCCTCGGTTGTTTGTGGTGCTTTTAGGGCGATTTTTGGGGCCATTGCGCTTGATACAGGGAAGTCTGATGATGCTGGCAATGTGTTCTTGGTGGTTCATGGCGGTGCTGGAGGTACGTTTTCCATGTGAGGATTAATCCCATTTCATGCTCCTTGTTTGTAAGTTCACTTTGATGCTTATTAGTAATGTATTATAATCAGTGGATTCTGAAGTCTCAAATGCACTCCTATCACTTTGTTAATATTCAGTGCCTATTTGATTGTTTATGTTGGAGTTCCGAATCAGCTAGACTTTGACCATTTCTCCTCTATATATGTTACGTTAGAACCTCCTTCCTCTGCGTGCTCTTTTAGATAGTAATTTGGGATTCCACATATTCTCCTATGGTATTAGACCCATGTGTACCTGTCTAGTCCCATCTCGACACTTTGGGACAATCTCTGCCTGTCTAGCCTCCATTTGAGGGGACGTGTTGGAGTCCCGTGTTGGCTGGACTTTGACCATTTTTCTCTATATATGTTGGAACCTCCCTTCTCTCCTTAAGGGCTCTTTTGGAGAGTAATTTGGGTGTTCCACATATTCTTAACAGTTTTTGTTGATTGAAAGTTCTTTTTTGATGTTAAGTAACACTCTGCCGGTGAGTTCTTAAGGGAAGGAAAGGATCCCAGTTTAAAGCGCCTTTGTTTGGTAATGGTAGTTATGAAGGGTAGTTTGGTTATGTTGAGTTTGACTATTGTTAATGGTAGTTTTGATATAACAAAACTTTTCTTTTTAAAAGTTTTATGTACTTCCAAATCCGTCCACTTTGGCCGGAGAACGTGGACAAGATTATGCCTCAAGTGATAAAAAGGACTCACAAAACAAGGGATTTAAAGAGAATAACAACTACCCTCCAAACTCCTTCAAATTTTAGGCCACAGACAAGGCATAAAATGTAGGCCAAAAGCATAGAAGATTGGCACTTGTTTTAGATTCTTGTTAAGCCTATGCTACCCCTTACCTTTTACTGGTGTATAAATTTATAGGTCTGTGAAAGGGTAATGCCCATTTAAGCTCTGATATTGCTAGACTCTGCTTTTGTAGTCAAGAACTCAAGCTGAGGGTGCCACAATGGTTGTTCTTTTGGCCCATCATTCTTTGTTCTTGTCTTGAATGTCGACTTCCTTCCCAGACGGGGAAAGTAACATGATTGGAGAGGAAAGTTCAATTTGCAAACCTGTTTTACGTTGTGAATTGAGGGACAAAAGAGAGCACGACACGTGTCCCCATTTGTTTTCATTCATCATGAATAATGGATGTGAATGTTGTACACCATTAATGATGCATGATACACAATTCATGATGAATATCCCGTGAATGTTTGTGACACGTGGTGTGTTGTTCTTTGTCCATGGGTTCACAACGGAACTTTGGTTTGCAACTGAACCAACAATTATGTTTGGAAGATTGACGGTCGTTCCATTTGATGTAGTCTTTTCCATAATTCCATGTATTATATGTTAATGGCACAAAATTGCATACCGTTACAGCTTGCACCTTTCATGTTAATTAACAATGTTGCTTGTTTTCTTGGCTGCCAACGTGGTATTAGTACTTATGTTTGTAATCGAGGTATTTGACACCTTCGGTCCAAACCAATTTAGTCGATGCAAAGGTGTTCCTTGTACATGAACCATATAAAGTTTAGATCTTTCAACCATCGAACGTAATCCTTACCTAGTAGGAACCAAATCTAAGGCTTCGTGCTACATTGGACACAAGATCATAGGGGAGAAACCTGGGTTCATATGGTACAAGTATTGAATGTACCTGCCAATTTTGAAGCATGTGGTTCAGTGTAACTTCTTTCTCTTGAAGGCTTTTAGGGTGTGTTTGATATGTTGATGGGACTCGACGAGCGAGAGTGTAGTAGGCGGGTGAAAAAACTGTGGAAATGGTTTTGCAGAATTTGTGTCAATTGCATGTGAAGTATATATATATATATATATATATATTTTTTTTTTTTTTTGCATTTGGGGATTTTGTTAACAACCTAATGAACTCAACTTATTTGGGGGAGCTTACATGACTATTTGGTAATGACTTAGGCTTGTTTGTTAGCATATTAATGGGCTTGATGGGACTTACAACTTGTTCGGTTAGTTATACATGGTTGTTTGATAGTAATTTAATGATATAAAAAGTGGTTTATTCAATAAGCTTTTAGGGAGAGCTTATGTAGAAAGTCAAGTTTTTTCTAAACCGTTCTTACTCAATTAAAGAACATGCACCTTCTCTGTATGAAAAAACCTTTCTAAACAAAAACTTATTGCTTTACATACAGATTAATCAACATAGACAACTTTATCCATACATGACTTAATGGACAAACAACTTCTTAATGATATAGAAAGTGATTTATTCAATAAGCTTTTACGGGAGAGCTTGATGCAGAAAATCCCAATTTTTTTTAAACGAGTCCCTCCTAATTAAAGAACAAGCTTCTTCCATATAATCTTTCAAACAAAAACTTTTTCAATCTACCAAACAGTACAAACCAAAAAAACCCAGATATTTTAGTTGATAAGATTGAAGATGCCATGCTATTAAATTATTTACCACTCATGTGTTGCCACATGTAGTGTTGAGTTCGTCATATGCCACTTAAGAAACCACAGCACATGTAGATTGTGAAACCTTTGTCCTCTCAATTCATCAACAAAAATACATTATATTTGTATTTACCTCTATACTTTCTCAAAAAAAAAATTAAAATCAAAATTTTTAAGAAAATTATATTTAACAGAAAATTCAAACATTAATATAATATTTAATTATTTAACACCCAAACAAACTTTATATCAAATGGTAATTTTTAACAATTTTTTGGTTAAAGTGTTACTTTTAAATGTTACAAACCCAGTCAAATGATAAAAGGTGTAGAGGATGTAGTGAAAATCTTATATCCGTTGGCTTGAATGCAAGTGTTGTCTAAGGGGCCGTTTATTGAACGTTTATCCGGTAGGTGCTTACCGGGCAATTTTCCTCACCGGATGAACATGACAAGACGCAAGAATCTTACCCGGTAAGAGCGATGATAATGATATGGAGTCTTGCCCGGTAAGAGCGATGGTAATGATATGGAGTCTTACCCGGTAAGTGAGGTGACGACTCTTATCTGGGTAAGCGATTACCAAGTAAATTATTGCATACAATATCATTTTGATGTACTACAATTTTACACAAAAAATAAATTATAACGTTGACTTCTAACGGTAAGTGCTTAGTGGATAAACATTTACATAAACAACCTCTAAGATTTCAATCTTATTTAACGACTTCAGGACATATGCGATCGTCAATGGATTAACTAGTGTACTTAAAGCTAACACAATTTTCTATGGGATGGTGTTAGTTTTAGATTATGGTAGGGAAATCTAACTGGACAACACTAGATTGCATGTAGTGTTTAATATAAATAGTTAACTAAGTGGTTATTATGAACTTGATACCTTCAGATACTTTTGATTTTTGAGACTCAACTCAAACTAATCAGACAGTTTACAACACTTAATTTGATGTAGTGTCTAATATAAATAGTTGACTAAAGGGCCGTTTACCAATTTTTTGGTTAAGTGTTGATTGGGGTAAGAGGTCTGACTGGAGTAAGTGTAGATTGGATTTTCTTGTTTACCAAACATTTTGTATTAAGTGTTGATTGAGTAAAAATGACCATTATATCATTATTTCTGGAGTAAGTGTTGATTAAAAATTATTGTTTACCATATGTATTGTATTAAGTGATAACATAAAATGTTATTTATCAAATTTTTTAAATATAATTTCAAATTCTTTTTTGCTTACGAAAATATATTGATACTCAATATATTAACATATTACAGATTTTCATAATTTAGAACAAAATTTCAAATTTTTTAAATCACGTCATTCAAAATATAAAAAAGTTAAATTTGATCTTAATATGCAAAAGGGAGTGCTAATGGCACCCCTTAGTAAGGGGGTGTTGATTTTTTTGGAAATTGAACCCATCAACTTTTTTTATAAACATCAACTCAATAATTATATATTTATATTTTATTAATTTTGTTTTATTTTATATATTTACATTAGAAAAATATATATTATTTTATTA